TAAATAAGTAATACTAATATAGATAATGTAAGTATAAATATTATTAATTTGAAATGTTTACATCTAAATAATATAAATATACATAAAATTTACTTAATCTCATACCAACTAAAGGTAAGTGACTAAAGACTGCCCAAGTTCACCAAGTAATTGTATTGCATTTGAACTTGCTTGGTATTTCAGAGTTATGGATTTTAATGAAAGAGCCATAAATCCTATGTGGATGTTATAGGACTTTCCTTATTTAGATTAATTTGCATGCCAGGCATATTATTTTTGGTTTTGATTCCACTATTAATAAGAAGGAGTAAGTACTGTGCATCATAGGCAAGAAAGGATGTTACTTCCAGTGGAGCAGGGGAAAAGGAGCAGGTTAAAGGAATTCTCATCTTTGCTGTACCTGGAGCCAGAAGCTGGTCAATGTTGGGTACTGAAAATCTCCTTCTTTCCTTCGCTGCTTAGGAATTGCTGTTTTTTAAAGCAGATAATATTGTATGAATTATATGTACATTAAAAAAATAAATATATTGCAATAAGGTATTTTTGTGTAATTTTTTCTCATTGTTCTTTCCCTTCTCTATCAGTGAGAAGCGAATGTTACCCTTTGATAAACCCCTTCTGGCATGAGAATGCAAACATCACTGATTCACACAGACAGCTTTTGTGTGAGTAACTTCTATATTATTTCCATACTTCTGTCCACCCTTCCCTCCCTCCTTGGCCACTTACAAGGTCCCATTTCTGATTTACAGGGGGAGCTCTTTGAGATAGTGTTTTGACTCTGCTTCTGTACAATATCTGTCACTGCATGTGGTCTTTAAGTGGGATTACTGTTGAAATAACCATCTATTTGATGTCAAGTTCAGCTAATTTCTTCCCCAGGAGCAAGATGTTTCTGCCCAGAATGGCTCAGGAAGGTACACAATTGTTAAAAATAAAAGGGAAGAATGTTCAAAACCCCCTCAAAAGAGTTTAATCACTGAAAATACTTAAGCACACATTTAAACTAATCTTTAAGACAGCTACTTATCTACCCTTTCCGTGGGATTCCTTGCACTGAAAAAACCTTAAGTATGCGGGAACTTAAGAAAATAAATCAATGACTAAAAGCCGGTTCAAAGTCTTTGAAGAACATTGTGTTCAAAAAGGTTACTTTAAGTTTCTAATTGCATTGTTTGATTCTTTTTCTTTAGATTAATTTATCAATGTCAGAATGTTTTCACAAAGTCCAAACTAAAGAAATACTTTTAAGCTTCTCCTAACAGATGATTTAGCTTCTTTTCATCATATTCTGCACTATGCTTAACTCATACACACTTATATATGGGCTTTTTTTTTTTTTTTTTTTTTTTTT